TAGGAAGAATAATTGTAAGAGGCAGCTGTATGAGCACTGGGGCCAGGGGGGAGGACGGGGAGCTCCAGGCACCAGTGCGGACATTCCCCTGAAGCTGAGCCTAGGAAAAGGGGGTGGTAGGGGTTTCTCACTATCCAGCTGCGTTTTGATAAGCAATAAATTAATTTTCCAGTTTTACTCATGATGGTAATTGTTAAGTGATCTCCCTGCCTTCACCCATGAGCTTTTCCATCTCATTTCCTGTCCTGTGGAGAAGGGGAGCAAGGGAGCGGCTGGGTGGGCGCCTGGCAGCCAGCCATGGTCGACCCGCCACAGGACTGCGAAGATCAGCTAACGCACTGCTCCCACACAGAGCGTCCCGAATCCTCAGCAGAAGCGGTGTGTATCTGCTTTTCTTCACAGCCCCAGTCCAGGAGAAAGAAACCACAGAACAGGATTATTTAACAGACTAAAGCTCAGGTTTGTACACTGCAGAATAATATACTTGGTTCAGCCCAGCCACGTTTGTTTTACTTGCTATCAGCTGAGAATGGATGTTAAAATAATACCCTTTTCATCATAATACATTAAAAAAAAAATCTCACATTGACCTTATTAATTGTTCTTAATTCTTAAAAGCTCAGTACCTGCAGTTCCTATTGAGGACTTAGTCAAGGAGAACTCCTGTCTGCTATTAAACAATAGTGTATTTCCCAGCATGAAAAAACACCTAATTAGTTTTCTGTGTTTTTTCCATGGCTGATTAATCCAACGTATATATGGGGAAGCTGCCTGCCCTGGGATGCCTCAATGCAAATGGTCATCAATGAATTAACTAAAATCCAAACCTCCCTTAACCCGTTCAAAGTAATATTTGCAGCAGAGGTGTTTTTATCTCTGTGTATCACTAAGAGTGACAGCAACTGAACAAAACAAGACATGGGAATAGACAGCCCTCCCTAACATCCAACTGAAAAACAAAATTGCTGCCAAATCTGGCAAAACAGTTTTGCTCAACCCTCTAGGTAGGCTTTCAGCAGCCTCCAGCATCACTGCATGCTTTAGGAAAATAAACTATATCCTTCCCAAGCTGTCCCAGCTTCCTTTCTGTAGAGAGCACTAGCGAGACAGCCTCTGCTCCACACTCTCCTTGGGAGCTTGAGCCGGAAAGCAGAGCGGCAGTGATGGATACACATGAAGGCAAAAGACATTCTTGGCCCCATTTATTCCTCTTCTGACTCACAGCACTCCTTGCTGCAGCGAAGCATAAACGATGCCAGGGAAGCACGTTGCCTCTTGTCTTCTCCCAGCCTTGGCAGCATTTTGCCTGTTTGGCACCTTGCAAGCAAAGCTGATGTTATCAAAGCTGCTAATTCTGTGCCCCCAGCAGCAGCAGATGCAGTGGCCTCCTACCCCCAGACCTCTGATCACAACACACAGCTGAGATTCACTTAAGCAGCTTTTCAACACCATGTTGTTCATTAAAAGAATGTCAAGGCTTGAAAGAAACCAGATCAGCATCGAGACATCTACACGCTCCTACCAACAAACAAGGTGTTTTAAGGAGTAGACGGGCTCTGCCCAAGCAGCAAAATTTTGACCAAAGACACTAAAATAGCCCCAGTTAAATCAGATGGCTTTAGGATGCCACTGCCAAGTCCTCGTAAGTAACAGAAAAGAATGTCACGACTTGGTGCAATGTAACCATGTAAGGGCAACTCTGTCCATCCTGTACACTACAAGTACAGTTCATTCCCTTTCATGGCTCTAGAGGATCCGAACTATTCCTGTCCCAGGAAAACAAAGAGCATTTTACATCACAATACTAGAAAACACAACTCAAAATTGATTTTTAAAGGGACACATGTCCTCCCTTGTTAGGATTCTGCAGAAGTTTTTATAAGACCTCACGTCCTATGCAGTCTCGCTGGTGAAGACGGTGTGAACTTCAAGAAGCCTTTAAACACAGCTCTAATCCATTTCCAGTTGAACTAGGTTTTAGGATATGGCACCGTAACGTGTCATTACCTTATTTTGACAAGAAAATAAGGGAAAAAAAATTTGTTTCAATGTTTTAAAATTCTGAAAAACAAACAGCAACAATCAGTATTACAAGGCAAAAAAAGTTTTAAATTGCTACATAATTCTTAAATACTTAATCAATACAGAAGTGTAAATTCGGTATAGCAGTATGCTAATGGAGTGTTATTGCTTACATCTGAGAGACCTCAAGTTCATCTTGAACTTTTAAGCTGTCAGTTCACTTTGCCTTATGGAGGAATTCCACTGAAATCCTCATGGATGAACAGAGGCCCAGGGGATTCGAAATAAGTCAACAATATTTAAACTTTGGTAAACGAAGCATTTATCAGCAGTAAACAGTTACTGGTTTTATTTAAAGTTCTGCCTAACGCCAAGGCAGAAGCAGCTAATTTAAGATATGTCAGAAAGAAACATCAAGTCCAATTAAAACTTATCTCCTTTTACTGTATACAAAGGAAAGTAATGAGGATTGGACATAAGCCAAGCTGAAATCTCTCCAGTTTGGAGACTGGTATTTATCTTTCCAGAAAGTGTTTTCAGAGATTTATCTGCTGGAAAAATGAATTATTTCCAGGAGAATCACAACTATCAGTGTCCCACCTCCCTCTCTTTTTTTTTTTTTAATGCATCTTTCATGGTTGACTTAGATGTCAGAAGAAAATACCTCAAAAATAAAGTGTGGGTTCACTTGTTTTTCTGCTTGTGGTATTTAAAAGATATCTCTCTCGCATGCTTTCTGTATTAAGTTCAATATGAATTCAACATGAAGCCTTTTTTTGGTCTTTTTAGCTGAGTTCCCCCTTACTTGAAACATCCAGGAGTTTATCTTTTAAAAGTTCTATCAGCTTGGAGGAGGACTAGTAAATTCAAGCGTTATCAGTGGGAAGACAGAATGTGCAACCAAAGATGTTTTAGTTGATAGCCATGCTCAGATGTGGTAACAGCCTGATCTGTCTTCTCTGCTCAAACAGCTCCTGAAACAAAGGTTGAGTTACGTACTTCATTATATCCACACTTAAAATCCTAATTCACTTTTTTTTTTTAAAAAAAAATCTGATTCAAATTTAAAAAAACCACACCATACTGCAACAACACATTAATGTGGGCTGATCTGCTCTGCTTAGAATCAAGTTATCCATCGTGTCAAGACAGGATTTTCCAAAGAAATACACTGCATTTTGACATGTCTGAGAAGTAAGAAAAAACATAGATAAGGAGAGAGATACTACACTTGAGTAGTTCAGCCATCCTCCTCCTTAGTTCAGAAGCGATAGCTCTCATGAAAGAATTTCTGACGCTTAAGTTTCCCACACCACATGCATCCGCAGCAAACAAGTCAGAAGTAAGCCACATGGAAACCAGCTCTACATGGAGACAGCTTAGAGCATCAACAGGAAAGCATCACCAAAACAGTTTCTACCACTTGAGAAAACATTGAGAGAGGGCCTATGCAGATTTGAGTAAGGACAATTGCAAACATTGTCCTAGAGATGATCATGCAGGAGTGAACACGGTGTAATCTGGATGTAACCTCTCCCAGCAATTCTTGAGAATGCATGGTCTGAAGGACAGCCTGTATAGTTGTAGATATTAAGTTGGTAAAATGCAGCTGACAACGGAAATTTTCAATACTAGTCACAGCATGCTGGCATATCTTAAAACTACCAAAACCATATATGAGATTCTATTTAAGTGATAAGCACCAACTGACAAATAAACCTGTGTGCAAACAAAATCTAGAAAAGCAGCACCTGAAATGAAGGTATAGCCTTTTCTTGTATCCCTCCTGCAAAACAAAAACCTGAGATATTACACCACTGGAGAGGACATCATGCTTTTAAGTCCTTGTGGAATTATAGCCAAAGGAAATCAGAAATCTCTTTTCCTAATTAAACTGTCAAGGCTTTTAATTAGACACAAGACACAAGTATTTTCCCTGAACACCCTTCCCTTTCTCGTACCCGTATCTTAGTGCCAAGTGGCTTCTCGCTTAGCACTTACTCCAATTCTGTTTCTCGATTTCTGCAGACAGTATAGGAAAATATACATGCAGAGCAGAAGAGAAAAACCAACCAGTTCATATTAAAACTAAACACCTGACATTCAACATCTTGAAAATGTAAAATCTTGAAGCAACTCTTTCAAACTACATTGTGAAAACTTGTGTTAGGCCAGAAGGGCAAAGGGATGGAAATTAGCCAGAGAGAGGGAACTGACAGGTAAGAGGCAATGTCAGCAGATATAGGATCATTCAAACCACTTGTGTCCTCCCATTTCTGCAAGCAAAACAGCTAAAAAATATAACACATCAGCAGGTAGAAAGTCTATCTAGCCATTAAAGGGCTACTAAGTAGTTCATTAAAGTATTGCCAAATATTCAGAGTTATTTCTCCTTATTTTCCTGCTTTTCATCATCAAGGTAAAAAAGTAAAACTTTAGGAGTCTCTCTCACATGGCAATCAATCTGCTACCGTGCAAAGAAGTATTTCTGGTAAGACAGTTTTCCGTGAATTCCAGTTTATAGTAAGTTTTAATAATTCGCTTAAAGAATGTGTCAGTATCCTTTGACAGAACAAATATTGTGAGCCTCTACCAGCAGAAAAAACACTGACCTTTGACATCATAACCAAAACAATTCCTGTACCTTTTTCCAGTGAAAAAGCAGCAAGCTGAATTAGATTCCTGCATTGCAAAAAGTTCCATTACAGATCAAAAAAGGAGTTGAGCTACAATTGCAAAACTTATTAAATCTGGAAAAGAAAGATGGTAATGAACCAAAGAGTGAAGTGGAAATTCTTAATTTTCACTTGGCACTGTTTTACAAGCCAATTTGTTTTAAGAATTCGTAATCAGAATCTGTATATCTTTTGAAGACACACATTTCTAAGTCTTTTAAGACTAGCTGTAATAAATCCACCGATGTTTATGACTTGAACAAAAGACACAGCACAATATAGGTTTGAATTGTTTATTTTACATCAGATGTTCCATACCAGAGGTTCTTCACTTAGAAGTTCCTAGAAGAAAATGAAACAAATATTGTTACAAAGTAGTAAATATTTTTGACCAACTATGTAATCATCCTATAAATACAGTGTATACATTTTCATCCTAAAAGTTGGATTTGGGTATGGAAGTTACCCCTGCAAGAGTTAGAGGATAACATAAACAGACGTACTTGGAAACAATTCCATCATTTTTTGCCAGACGCAGAATGGAGTCATCTGATTCACCCTTTAAAAAAAAAAAAGATGATTCTGAAGTGACCAAATAATTGCTGATACACATTAAAAAGAGGCAGCTGCAGCATTTAATGTTGGTAGTGAAATGCACAATACTTTCCACAGATCACTACATTTTATCTGCACAGATTAGCTTTTTCAAAACAAGCTGTTAAATTATGTCATCCTTTAGGATTAGGAATAGTTTTAATGATAAAATATACACTTGCATAAACGAGATATATTTCTGTGTTAGCAGACTTCTGAAGAACTCTTAAGAAGCTTCACGTCATGTTTAACAAATTTAAGTTATGGTAGTATAATCTTGCATAATCATAAACAACAGATGAAAGCCAGATATTAGTAGGTTGATACATTCTTAAAAGAAAGAAATCCACTTGCATCCTTCACTGATCTAAAAAAACCCTCAAAACACCTGTAATTCTACAAACCAAAGACTGAGGGGGGAAAAAAAAAAAAAAGAAATTGATTCTTGCAAGTGAATTTGTTCATGTCTTCACTATCCCCACAAAAGCTCTTCCTTTAGGAGAACAAGCTGAAGGCACATTGTGTTTTCAGGGACAGATACAAATCTAAAAAATGACTAATCGATATAAAAAGAAGCACAATCATACTGTGGCTGAAGAAAATTCTTACCATTCTACGAATTGCTCCACAAATGGCATACGTTTTGAACTGGCCATTTACTCTGCCTGTTACCTTGTCAACCTGTAATTACAAGCAAGTTAGTCCATACAGACTCTTCTAAAATTTTATACTCTTACATCGCACTTGCCGAGCACCCAAAGGTAAAAATTACTTGTTAAATTCTGCAAGTATTTTTCTGCAAACTACAAAAATCCAAGCCAAACATTGAAGTCAGAAAGACAACTATAGAGTGTCTTTTCACAGCAAATGTATAGTTTATTACATTGTGCAGCTATAAAAATTAATGCATCAGACAGCATAACAAGAACACCCTAGAAAATGGTAGCTAAAAGAAGATGATGATAGAGTTCTCAAGAAGTGGACAAGTTCAAAGTAAAGTTTACTTGTGGATTTTACTGCCTTTGTTATTATTTTTTTCATGTTTCATTTCAAAAAGGTCAGTATTAAGGATAATTGAAGTGAAAGGAGGAAGGGAACAGTCTTGTTACACAGGTAGAAAAATGCCCAAGTTGAGGGACACAAATTGTCTCACTTCCTCCATTTGCTGAGAAATTTAACAGGAAAAAGATTCAACAATAGAAATCATGAAATTAAACAATATGGTTGAACCCTGTAATACCACGTGGGTTTGTTTCCGAGTTCTGCTAATCTCTGATCCTTTGAAAATAAGAAATAGGGATCGCTGAAGGACTAAAACACAGTGAGCAAGAAAAGTATTTGCCTTAACGTTTACAGCAAATCGCAAACAGAGCATTTTTAAAAATGATTTCTTAAGTCAGACAGATAACACAAGAGGCTCAGTTTAAAAATAAGGGAATGTAGTCCTGTGCTCTTCCATTCCAGAAGAAATAAGTCAAGCTACATAGCTCATAAGCTATAGGAACATTGTGTCCATGGAATTCTGCAAGGTGAATACCAATGAACAAATGGGGGGAAAAAAGTGTGCTAAAAGGAGTTTAAATTAACTGAAGCCCTGCAGGAACCAAGGGCTTTCTCAGCATACATGTTAAGCTTGGAGGGATTCGCAATAATGCTACCTCGAGAAGATGAAATTAAACTTAGACAAGAACAAATTCCTTATGTTATAGAAAGAAAACTAAATGTACGACATGAAGTCAATACAAATAATGAGCATGCCTTGGGAAAACTTCTAAGCATATAATGCCCCAAGCACTAAGTTAATGAAATGATAATGCTGCACACAAAACACACAAGCAACCTCATTTGTCACCTATCAAGGGCAGCAGTATCAAGTATTCACAGAAATGATTCAGGCAAAACACAGAAGATGGCATTTCAGTTAAGCAAAGCAGAACAAAAATAGAGTTCTGTTCTGGAAACTATCCTTCTTAAAGTTTGGAAAAAACTAGAAAAAGCACAAAGAAGACCAAGAATAAAAAATTAAAAACCAGGGTGCACAAGGACAGACCGAAGAACAGTACATTCTTACAGACTGGTGAAGGTAGAAGGGATAAGAATCTCCCAGAAGCAAGTATTTCTTCTCCTTGTTTCCTTCAGGACAAGGAATTCCCTAATTTATAACTCTAATGTCTAAACATTAGAAAGTTGTATTTAGTCAAACAGTTCAGTGCTGGAACAGACTGTACAGAGCTTTATAAAATTCCCTCTACTGAATATTTTCCAATAGGTTGAAGAATAACCAGGGGTGACATAGTAAAATACGCTTGAAAGCACTCTAGATCTACACTTATGTGATTTCTAGTGAATTATTTGGAGATGCATCACAAGCTGTTGTATTTCTTAACTTCTATCAAAAGTTTAAAAGTGTAGCTCTCTCATCACATAGTTCTGTTACAAAACTTACCTCAGAAATATTTATCTGAATAGAAGCATGATCCTTAGCACCAATTATTCGGTTGCTAGCAGAGCTAAAGAATAAAATAAGATATATTTAAGCAAAAGGAAACAGACAGTGACAGTGGAAAAAAAACAACTATTAAAGCCAAATCTACATGCAAATTAAGGCTGCACAGTAAGTTTAGACAGTAACAGTTTAAGCTTTCAGCGCTCAGAAAATTAAAATGCAGTCTTAAGTACATTTAAAGGAGACTTTCACTTGGTAGCACCATGCTAAGTTGCCAACCACCCCTTGGCCAGCTCACCCCTATAGAGCGCACAGAGCAGCACAGGTCTTCAAAACAAACAGAGTATCAAGGCTTTCTTTTCTAAAGTGCAAAAAAAATACAGCAATCAAGATAATTCGTGAAAATGCAGTTTCTATGCCTTTTTCATCAGGAGCCATTACAGGTGTCAACAGACACACAGGTTGCAAACTCACAGAAATCACAGGTTGTGAAAAACATTGGACTTAAACCTAATAAAATGCATACAAATTGTTCATTTTTAGAGATTTTTTCTTAACAAACACGTTTACAAAAAGCTTCTCACTGTCTATTTACCAAAATCTCAAAATTGTACTTAAGATGTGCTATCAAGGCAACAAACAATCCCTTAAGAGGTTCACTACGACAGCTTGCAGCCCTGAAATGCTAGCGTAATATAACTGTGAGGCTGACAGTTACACAATGGGAGATGCACAGTATCCTCTTCAACGTTAGCCTCTGCTTCAGATGTCACGTAAAATATTTAAAAATGCAGAAACAAGGAAAAATTGATTTTTTTTTTCCTCCCACAGACATTCGCTCCTACAAACAAACCCCCTGCTTTTGCATAGCCTGCATCGGCCCAGCTCCCCGGGGAC